CACTTGTTACACAATTCTTGACGCACATAATATAAATCGGCCTTTTCTCTCTCGTTGTCCGTTTTTCCATAATAATCAAAAACTTGAATCTTCCTTACGGAAATGTCAATAATAAGTTCGTCTCCCTTGACTAGTGATAGAATGGTAAATAAAAGTGTAAATAATTATAACATCAATTCCCTGCAACGTTTTAGTAATAATGTAAAGAGAAAATTACGTAAAATTCCTTTTTGTGCATCATTGGTTGAAAAAATTAGGTGGGACTTTTTTATATTACTCATTTTAATTTCATTTGGATTTGCTGTATTATTATTCATTGTAATAGTATTATCTGTATATGGTGATGAACTGAAATTGGGTAAGTAGATTGACTCAACTACCTTGTGTTTTCTGCTTGATTTGGTTGATTGATTATGCTCAATGATCGCATGTCGTCAATGTAGAAATCCAATTTTATCCGCCGCAACCTTATCTCGGATTTCCTCCAAATGTAACCACCGACGTCCCGCGTGGAACCACAGTATATCACGTCACCAAAGAGTTTGGAGGCGCCGTTGTGGGAAGGCTAGGTCATACCGTGACAGCGTTGGCGAAAGGACAAACTGTTGACAAAAGACTTAACATTAACATTATAATGCCTCATTATTCTCATCTGAATGAATTATATCCACACGAGGACTTTGCAAAATTGAGCATCGACGTGCAAGATGGCTATGGTAATTGGGCAAAGGTCACGTTCAGCGTCAGAAGGATTAACTGGAATTTCACCGATAGTTCGGATCAATCAACCCTTCGGAGGAATCATGTCTACTTGATTGGACGTGCGATCGATTTTTACCCATTCTCTTTGGCATTCAGGACGACAAACTCTTTGGACATTCATTCGACGCAACGTGGATTACCACAGGAATGGAAAGACATCTACTTTTGTAAAGCCGCGGCAGAGCTCATTATCTATTTAAATGAGATTCCAGAAACATCTCTTTTCTCTCCATCCGATTCCAGGGGCGTAGACATCGTGCATTTGCATGGGGCCACAAATGCATTTAACAAATCGATCGGACCTTGCGAAACATATTCATGGACGACAATTTTATCCGTCTGCATTTGCGATCGATAATTCACAAGCCGTCACTCTCGTTTCTGAATCAAAAGCGAGAGAAATGGTGGAAGATTCATTGGATTTTAGGGCGAAAGAATTAATAATACCAAGTATACTTGATCGAGCTACAACCGGTCATTGGATTGGTATCACGAACGGGGTAAACTTCAATAGGTTTGATCCGTTCGACAATTCAATGCTCTTGGAGTCCAATTCCAACTTCCCAAAGAACATTGACACCTTTGACGATGCACTTTTATTTGCC